TCAATGAACTTTGTCCGGTAAACACTTCTTGGACGGTGCCAGTTCGCCACCCCCTAGGCCCTGGAGGGTTCGAAAACAAGTGCGCTCCGGTGTCAAAGTCTAAATAGCCCCACTATGTCCGAGAGGGCTATGACGTCCACATTGTCGTAATGCGCTATATACTTACTGAAATCGGTTGGAGAAGTCGGCTTGCCGCCAAGCCAACATCGATCGAGTCCTCGGTTCGGGTAACTTGAAGCTCCACCTTCTCAGCGCCCCGAAGTGACGTTGGATGCCATAACCTCGAACGTGCTTCAATTGCGAATTTACGGTGTTTAGACGTTCACCTCACCCGAGTTTGAATAGGCTCGCAATCTTGGCACACGCAATCTTGAACCCAGGGTATACACGTTTAAACATTACACGTAAGGTTCGGACGGTAAGCTAAGATACAGGGTGATGACACGGCGCGAGCAGAGACGTAAGGATCCGTTAAACATATTCGAGAGGCGTTAGACGACTAGAAGAGAAGGCTTAGACGGTGATGTTACCCTGACCGCCTCGTCCAGTATGACTGCAAATTATCATCGAATGAGCTATGGGATCAACATAATCCGCGGAAACCGTTGCACTCACTTCGTCGCATCCGTAGAGACACGGGTACCATGAGGAAGGTCAGCAGCAGTCGGACCAAGATTGCCTACACCGCCGCGGCCATGGGAGTAACTGTTGCAATAAAGTTGTCGCGTTAGACTAGTTCTAACGTTACGATGTCGATTGTGCTTACACTGCCTGGGGCTTGCCTTCAGCGGCAGCGCGCTCCTCTTCGTCGAGCTTCTCGAGATCACGACCGGGGTGGAGGACGTGGTCGATGATGTTGCCGAGTCCACCACGGCCGCTGGAGGTTCCGGGTTCACGAGAGCGAGAACGGGACTTTTCAATATTGCCGGTGCCACCGCGACCGTAGGAGACACCCCAGGACTCGCGGCTGTCGCGGTTCTTGCGGAGGACTTCATCCTCGAAGGCGCGCTCAGCGGCGTCCTTGGCGGGGTCGCGAGAGGGAGAGCGGACGTTGCCTTGACCGCCTCGGCCGGCGTGGGTGATCTGGGAATAGCGAACGCGTGAGTCGAAGAGATAAGGAAAATGATGGAGCGGGGGACGCCAACACTTACTCGGTTCTCGTCACGGGGGGCGACATCACGACCGCGCTCGTCACCGTCCTCAGTGCGGGTGACTTGAGCCCTGGACTGGGACTCGCTGCGGACCATGTTGCCAGCACCACCACGACCGGCGGAGGCCTAGGTGGGTGAAGGGTAAAAATGTCAGCCTTGAGAACTAGTGTAATTAGGACCGAATAAGGCAGACTCACAAATTCACGACCGCGGGAAACGGAACGGGCGTTACGCTCTGACATGATAGAAAGGTGATAGGAAGTTCGTTAGAGTCGAGTTCAAAGGCGGGCTGTGGAAAGGGGGAGGAAAAGCGTTGATTGTGGAAAGAGCAAGAGGGGGAGACTCGCTCGGAGGGGGGATTTATAGAGGGTGTGGCTGAGGGCGCGAGACTATCGCTGCTCCCTTGACCTGTGGACGGATGACGCGATCCGAAAACGCGCACAGGTTGGAAAAGGAGGCTAAGCCGTTGTCGGCCGAGCAATTCAAAGGCAATTGCCATCTGCTGATCGTTGGACCATCGGCAATTCGCTAAGGAGCTGACCCGTAACGAACGCAGAACCGAGGTGTGGTGCCGGCGCCGGGCTTGGTCGGAGGGTCTCCCACATGCATCCCAGGGACCACGAAGGCGCAGCAGAGAGATAACAGATAGACCCAACAAGGCAGGAGCAGCGATATCGACACCCCCCGATAGAACGAGGCCTCGCGATAGGCTAAAGACAAAAGAAACTCGGCTTGGTTGTCCCCCAACTTACCATTCAAGTCCTGACTGCTCCCTCGCTGGGAGTCGGGGCTCAGCACCTTGCCCAACGAGCTCCAGAATCCGCCATTGCTTGAACTTGAATTTGCTGGCTGGGACGCCTTTTGAGTGGGCAGCACAGGTATTTGGTTGCTCTCGAAAGAGGTTTTTGGTGAGTGGGTGGAGCTCATGATGTTGAAGCGGAGGTGTAGTAGGTGGGGGAGGTGGACGTTGCTGAGAGACTTTCTTCGCCCACCGTCTCGATCAGAATTTATAGGTGCACTCGGTGGCATGGGGTTCAGGCTAACCAGGGATGAAGGGCTGGGCCTCTTCGGACGTTCGCCTGTTCAAATAGGCCGAAGAAGGCTCCCGGGACTGTGGAAAGCGGCATCGAGCTCGTCATATGAGCACCGAGTCACGCACGGGCACGTCGAACGTGACCAGTTTGGGGGGATCGCCAAAGCGGGGCGGACAGCAAAAGCCTCCCTCTTGGGGCAAGGCTTGCCACCCAAGCGGTCTTGTGACCAACAATTTTCTACTCCAGATGCTAAAAACATGCATGCATGGTCTATGGAATGGCTGGTTTTGCCTATGCACTGAACAAACGGTCGTGCCAGGGGTGGTCCATTGTTGTTCATTCTCCGCGTCCTTGGTCTCACCTGCCCGCTTTCATGCCGTAATCCAACCCCCAGAGTACCGCCGCAGACCTATTCCTCGGCCTCGGATGCCACTCAGATGATCTCTCGACCTGCAAGTTCCTCAGATGGCGCAACCAGCACGAACGTTCATCACTTGACCCTGTCCCTTCCACCGGCTGGCTTGTTCCTACGACGACTCAACGTTCCTTTAAACCAATTCAGCTACCACCTCATTGATCTCCTGGAGAATATTGCGGATATCTTGGCCCTGCCTTTGGCCGACCATTCTTACCCGGAACGATGGTTAATGGCGTCATTCAACGTGCAAAGGTAGTCGCCTGACGCAAAACGAACTTTACAAGTCCACCCCTGAGTGCTGGAACCAACGACCACGCTGCGCTAGGGACACAATTCGGGTCATTTCGACTAGCCCTGTATGGGGTAAAAGATCACATTGTCGACTGGCATCGGCCGTGCGTACCCGTCGGGTTCAGGATGGCGTTGGATCCCAGTAGTTTTCTCTCGTCCACTTTGGTAGGTTCGCCGAATGTTTCAAAACCTCTCTCGGTTTTGACGAGTGTGGGGCCATGGTCTCCAACTCCGAGATGCCACCGACACCGAGTCGTCCGTGTTTACCGACGCCTCCTTAATCGCGTTGCGATTTTAATCTTAAAAATTCTCCAACCGCTCTTTGGAGCATACATTTCACTGTCACCTGCTCCATCTTTGAAACCTTTGAGTTGCTGACTCGGCTGCACATCGGCCGAGGCTAGCAATCCGTTTCGAACGGCGAATTCGCTTGAGATCCAAAACGACGGTCGCCACGCGAAATCGGGGCGGGAAGTCATTTATGGCGTCATACGAGCCAGGAATTGGGTCTAGGCCAACCCTTTTTGTGACCTGACCCTTTCTGCACTGGCATGATTGACTCTTTGGAAATCCTCATCGTTGGACATCGCATCCCTAGTCGTCCCGCTTATGAAGTACCCCAGAACGTGCGGGACCACCCCATCGAACGGCTTTTATCAGATATCGAGTTCTAATCGTTCCACTGCGCAGCGAAAGAAGCCGGTGCCGATTTTTGGTGGACCCGTCTGGCGATCATGGCTCGGGGAACTGATCAAAGCACGATGGGCCGGCCATATGGTTCACTGTTTGATGGTTTGAACGGGTTTTACCGGTAGTTCGCGTGGCCTGCATGGCGAAATCGTTCGCGCCATTGCATACCCTGGATGATTGCAAGTCGCCAAGGTCTATCTCCGGCCGCAAAGGTCGAGACGAACGTTCCTTCGCCCAACGGTGTCCGGAAACATCAAAGGATGGCAACGTACCACATATCTGTAAACTTTGAATCCTCAAAGCGTGATACCAACGTGCTTCGTCGTCACCGGTAAGGTTAACACGTTCGTTTACAGTCCTTGCGGAAAAGAAATTTCGAACGACCAGCTCCAAAGACGATTCTCGAGCCTGCCCGAAAGTTCCATAATAGACTTTGGTTCTAATCGCAGTTGTATCATACTTCGTAACATGATCAGACCATTGTGCTCAACGGGAAAAGCGAGCCGGTGTCAACTCCGAGTCAGAACTTCCGCGTTGGGAAATGCTTCGATCGCGCTCCGACGCTAGATTTTAACCGGCGCGCCAAATCAAAGAGCGAAAACAAAAGTGGTCTCGTGCTCGTTTAAAGTCCCGGATCTAGATGCGTGTGCCTGGGGCATTTGGCAATAACGTTGTGTGCTGCGTGAAACAGGTGATGCACGGCGCTTCGTCATCGCCTGGAGAGCGGAGGGCGAAAATGACGCCTAACTAGAAACTCAATTCCGAATGTCCGAATCGGCCCTCATACGCATAAGACAGCAGATGGTATTACACCGGCTTGGCGCGCGCCAAGTTATCCGATGGTGTTTAGCGAAAAGGAGGACGCAAGGTACGAGATCACATGGTGGCTGGGTAACTTGCCGACTCGGCACAACGTAACCAGCTGTTTTTTCGATCGGTTTCACCGAACCGGATTTGATTGATGGGCGGGTCTCCTAAATGATGTGTGGGAGGTAATGTGGGGCTTTTCTTCAGCATGACCCAATCGACAGCGAGGTTCGTTGCAAATCGATCTAGTGGCATGACTCAGTCAGACAAAACCAACCCAAGACCCAGAGCAGCTGACCGGTTGCTACGACGTGCGTCGAAATTTTGGGTCGTTGGTCGATAATCATGGTGGAACGGGCGTGCACTCGGAGGTATTGCTGAGCCCAACGCCTTCCCTCCTCCCCCTCACCACAAAGTAATGTAAATCTGGAATCTCACCATCGTCGTATTCGATCCTCAGTGTCTTTGGTACTGTACATTATTCGCCAAAAAAACATCCCAAGGTCCTGTTTTCTACTTTTTTACCTTAGTCATATTTTTCCGCCCCCTCCGTTAAATGAGCGTAAAGCCTCATTAAAAACTGATCTCTCGATGCCCAAAAAGAAGCTCTGGAGAACCAGGGAGTCGAACCCGGCACCTCTCCCATGCGATTACGTAAGCAAGTTGCTTGTGTAATGCTAAGGGAGCGCTCTACCGATGAGCTAGATCCCCATCACATCAGTAGCTCACGGTTAAGTTTTGATGTAGCAATGCTTTTTAGTACAGCCCCGCAAGCATCCCAATGACAACGATAGCCTATGCTGATCAACCGAGCCAAGCTGGCGGGGATTCGGACATATGTGGCATCTGCCGGTGAAGGTTGTACCACTGCCCAAGATCCAGCCACAGCCCAATTTAGCTCTCTGGCGACTGACGCCATGGAGGCATTCCTCACCTCAGCCTGCTTGTTATTCTTCGTACTCATTGCATCAAGGCGTTTGACGGTTCGGAGTGGAATTAACCTCACTTCCGCCGAGGGCGGAGGAGGCGTATAAATCTCGTCATCCGGCGCCGACTGACTTCCTTTCAGTATCTGCTTCCTCGCTTTGTCAAGAGTAGATGAGCTATGCTAAACGCCTAGGCATATGCGAGGATGAAGGCAGTTCGCAGATGTTCTTGTTTTTGTCCTATAAATGTGAACTGCAGGCCTCTCGTGGAGCGGTATCAATGGATGGCCGACAACATTATCGCACTTATGAGTATTTTCATATCAGAGAATGGCAGAAATTTCTTTTTGAACTGGAGTTACCTCACGGAAACTGGTGCATGTGTCTAGTTGATAAATGTCAGGCATTGCCTCACCCTATGGTCCAACCCAAACGACGGCAAAGAGGCCACATGACGCCCCCTAATCTAGATGAAAGGTCCACTCGTATCTGCAAAAATGGCCTAGAACGCCATTAAGTTGGATTCATTACCCGCTTCGAGCCATTTATAGGTGATTGGAAAAGCAAAGAGCCTGACCGTGGCAGTTAGGCGACCTTCGACGCAATGGCGACTGCTGGTTGAACTTCGAAAAGAGGAGGTACATGCAGGGGGCCTTCTCCCAAATTCAACCTCTGGAATCGTCTGCACGAAATCTCCCCATGCCATTGCCTGGTAGTTTGGTATGAATGGACAAGATCAATAAATTCCTCTGTCTATGCCTAGGCCAGGTTGTATTGGGGTGTGGGAAAAGAGCTGCACATCCTTAAGGTGGTTGTAATTTTGCATGCGCTATCGGTCAAAGGCGAGAAACACGTGATAACGAGAGCAATGGATATATTTGGCCCAACCTTAACGAAAATTGTTTTCCGTATTTTGGAACTCAAAATACATACAATCTTTTACAGGAGAGCCTGGGGTGGCCGGTGCCGGGTTCCGCTCCTATATTCTCCAGTTCATGTGTAACGGAACGCATAACCAATGAGCTAGCGCTGATCCTAACGCTATCAACCAGTTTACCCTAAAATTATTTGCACACGCATTTGCCAGATTCAGCGCCATACATACTGTCTTAGAACCGCCTCGTGGGTTGGGAAGCCCGTCACGGTTAACATTGGGGTGAGGCTCCAGTGTATACGATCCGGCGCATGCTGTCCGGCATCCCGCCCACGTCCTGTCAGCATTCGACATTACGCCAGAGTCGAGCAAGCTCTCGAGATGTGTCTCCAAGATCCTCGAAGCCGTCCTCATCATCCCGTCAGCGAACATGGCTCACTTTTGATGCTGCCCAAGGACGTTTGAGGCTTAAGTGTCGGTCGCACTTGTTTTTAATCTCAGTGCATATTCCCCTTTTCTTTTCTGAGAGTCCGTTCAATATTGCGCTGGGGCGCGAGGCATCATATTGCCTGTTGGAATGAGCACAACTGCGAAGGCTCTCGGCGTAGAACACAAGGCCTCGTGCTACTATTAGATTGGCACGGCCAGTCTCGCAACTTCTCAATCCCATTCTTGGGCGCCTGCGCACTAACAGGCCGTTGAACGAGGCGACGAAGGGTATCTAGCGGAGGTGTGTACGTTGAAGTTTGCTCCACCACCGAACAAATAGAACCCAATCATCTGCAAAGCAAACGCTTACCACCCATACGGTTACGAGCAACTCTTTTACCAATATCATAATGGAGGACGGGATTCCATCGCTATCAACAGGCGCTGTAGGCTCGAGGTTTGTCTCCCAAACTGAGATAGATGCTGCGAATGCAACTCGGGACGAACAGTGGAAGGCTGCATATGCCAGGTAAGCTGCTTTCATCGTGTAGGCGAATTCCCCCATATCTGATGCAAAAATGCACTCGCCCTATTGCGTTCGCTCACTTTTTGGCCAAAAACTTCCGCTCGCAAGGATAGGCCAGGAACCACCGCCACGGCCCGTTGAGGATTATGACGGGCGGTCGCTGTTCGAGGTTCGTTGTGCATAGGTAGCTGCCTGAGGTCTTCACGCTCACTAAGTACCCAAATTTCAGCGCTTGCAAGAGCAGAAGGTTCAAGAAACAGCAATTGCCGCCCGATTTTCATGTCGCTGACAGCGTTTTCACCGCCTAGACACTCAAGCAAGAGCAATGGGATGAGAAAATGAAGCTGAGTGGGTCGTGGGTCTTGTTGCGCTCCACTGAGCATGTCTGACAGTCGCTCTCATCGTGCCTCACGCAGGCAATCAATTCCGTGGGATCGACGAGGAAGACTCGGCTTTCCTGGCACAGGTTCAAGACGACAGGATAGAACAGGAGAAGCTTAAGAAGAAACAAGACGCCGAAGAGCTAGCGGCCTTCCGAGCGTTAGTCTTTCTTTTGCTGGTGTCTAAGGATGCCGGTTGACATTGGGACTCATAGTGGACAAGCGAAGCTCGCCGAAAAGACATCTCCTGCTGCTTCGTCGTCCTCCGCTCCCCCTGCTGCTGCCGCTGCACCGGCCAAGCCCTCCAAACCGGCACCCGCTCCAGCGCCTTCAAAATCCTCACTCGGAAAGAAGGACCAAAAGTCAATCCTCAAGGGCGTTGTAATAAAGAAGAAGGACAAAGACAAACCAAAAGCCAAGAAGCAGGAATCTTCAGACTCGGCAAAAGCTGCTGAATCAGAGAAGGCGAATCCATCTGCGGGAGGAGAGGGTTCTGCGCACAAACGCAAAGCGGATGAGCCGGCCGCTGCCTCCGGTCCCGACGATGGTAACAAGAAAGCCCGGATAACCACTTCGAACGACTAGGATTTCAGTGTAATCGAGGCCATTCCCGACCACATTAATACTTAATAATGGCAATTTGTTAGTTCTGCTCTTCTGTTTGGTCTTTGAGGCGGTGGAATGTTCTTGAGGAGCGACCGACCAATCAGCGTTCGTTGCTACGACGTCATCTGAACATGTGCGCCTTCGTGCTTCTATCCGACAACGACCACGACCGCGGCCGCCCGGGTCGAACACTCATCGATTCGGGATCACCATGACCTTCATCCAGAGGATTGTCGACTTCTTTTCTTTCTCGACGAGGCCGGTGACCGTCCTCACGCTCGCCACTTATGCCGCCGTTTTGATCGCAAGCATTTGGATACACGAGGGGAATCCGCATGTTCCAACTAAACCTTCCAAGCAGTTGGGACTAGATCTGGATGCCGCTTGGAACGATCTAGAACAAGTAAGAGCTCACCGATGTCCCGATATTTTGAACGTCCATGCTCACACGACCTGAACTCGTCCGGTGGCTTCCTCGAACCGTAGATTACGACATATCCACACCCCTACAACTCTCATCAGAGCGACGTCGTACGAGCGTATATTCTGGGTCGCGTCAAAGCGATGGGGAAGCGGAAGGAACGCTTTTTCCATATTTCGGACGACAACTTCAGTAATGGTACATACGCCGCCGGTCAGCTCATCTACTTTGAAGGCAATAACGTGCTAGTCAAGATCGACGGTTCCGACGACGACGCCGACCAGAAAGGCGGCATATTGATATCCGCTCACTTCGATTCCGTTTCGACTGCTCCAGGTGAAGGTGATTCCTCGAACTCATTATGCCTCGTTCTGACCTCGCGGTATTTTCGATTATCGCAGGCGCTACCGATAATGGAATGGGAGCCGCAACAGCGCTCAGCCTTATGGACTACTTCGCGAAGAGCCAACCGCGGCGCAATATCATCTTCAATCTGAACAACGGAGAAGAAGATTGGTTGAACGGCGCTCATGCCTTCCTGGAGCATCCGTGGGCCAGTTTAGTCTCCGTCTTCCTCAACTTGGAAGGCGCGGGCAATGGAGGGTCGGTAACTGAAAGTGAACGTTTGGTTTGCAGATACTAATGTTGCTCGCTCCTCAGTCGTCCCTTGCTGTTCCGGACATCGTCGACTGGTACGTCGCCTGACGTTCGCAGTAAGCAGTGGACTAACTAGCTCCCAGGTGTTACAAAGGCTTTCCGGTCTGTGCGCTTGCCTCATGGCACTGTCCTGTCTGCAGACGCGTTCAAGAGACGCGTCATCCGCTCCGGAACCGATTTCCAAGTTTACGACCAGGCGGGCATGAAGGGGCTTGATCTGGCATTCTACAGCAGGCGAGCGAGGTACCACACCAAGTACGACTCGGTTCCTGCTCTGGGCGGCAAGGGCAGTCTCTGGTCCATGATGGCCGCCTCGCTTCAAGCAACGCAAGCCTTGGACGCGGCCAAGGACGGAAGCGAAGGGGGAGGTCAACCAGTATATTTCGATCGTGCGTGCTCCTGATCTCTTCCTAGCCACTCTTTGCCGTGTTGCTTATAGTTCTTCACGCTGTTGGTCTCAGTTTTCGGAGCTAAGATGGTCGTGTTTGAACAGAACACCATGTTCATTCTCAACGTAGTCGCTCTCGCCGTTGGCCCCGTTATTGTTGGCGCTCTTCTCGTCCTCCTCCGCAACAAAGGGAAATTAGTTTGGTCAACTGATGGATGGATTCGCTTTCCTTTGGCGACCATCGTCGCTGCTGGAGCTACCGTCGGTCTAGCCCATTTGTACGCCGAGTACTCGACTTATGTGAGTGAATTGCATATGTGCTCTGGATCCTCTCTAACGTTGATTCGTAGATCATCTATTCATCATCGTATTCCGTCCTTGCGTCGCTTCTCATCACTTTCTACCTTGTCCTGTACGCCATCCTCCGAACGCTCAACTGGTACAGGCCCCCTTCAGGAGGACAGCCCGCCCAGCGCGCTATAGTGTTCCTCCAGACTTACTTTA